CCTCCTCCTCTGCAAACGGGGCGGCGGCGGCTCGGCGAGGGGCCGGGCTGAGCCCGGGGGGTCCGGCCCAGCAGCAGCGGCCCGGATCGCAGGGGGGGAGGGGAGGGAGGGGCTGGGACCCGGCGGGAGAGGAGGGAGGGGAAGGGGAGGGAGGGGCCGGGGGCGCACGGAGGGGAGGAGAGGCGGGCCTGAAGCCCCCCTCTGCCGACAGCCACGGGTGGATAGACCAGGAGATGTGTGTCCAGCCTAAAACGGGATCCTCAGGCCGGGGAGGGGCAGAAGTTGGGCCTGAGGCCTGGACCGGTCACTTAGGCGAGGACCCGATCCCTGCCTGAAGGATGAAGACTTGTCTTTAAGGCCGACAGCTGATCCTTCCCTGACAGCACCCTTCTTCCTTTGGCCCTGGCTCTCACGCGTTCACATCCCTCCTGAGGATGCCTGCGCCGTAGAGCTCCCGGGACAGGGACTTGTCAGAAACAGGCAGCCTTTCCCCCTCGGTGAGGTGACTGGGGTTTTCTTCTCCAAAGTAACTTGTCCTCAAAGCTATTCAACCATCACCCCTCACTGCCTCACCCTCTTCCTTCACCCCAGGACCGTCTTCCCCTCCAGCCCACCCCCAACCTCCTTTGTCCTGGTTTCTGGTCATATTCCCTGTCCCCTCCCACCCCACTCCCCCACCAGCCTCCCAGCTATCCCAGCACCCTCCTTCCTAATCTCAGGAGGCATCTCGTCTGGCTGAACTGGAGAATTCCGGGATCTAGGCCATCCTCCATAGCAGACAGCCCCATCCCTGGGATGAGGAACAGGAGAGAGCTTGGGAGGAGGCGGGGTGGTGTCAGGAGCCCCGAAGACTGAGACTGTGGGGAGCCTGGGACTAAGGGGAAGGCCAAGGAGCCAGAGGCAAAGGACGAAGGCGGCCAGCAGGAGGTATTAGCTGGGGGAGGCCAGCAGCGGTCTTTTCTGAGACAGGAACACATGGGCACAGAGGCAAGTGGCCTTAGCTGTCCAAGCCCCTGGGCCCCAGCAGGTCACCTGGCCAGCACATAGCTTTCACCTTCCAGTCCCCTCAAACTGACTGCGCCCTTGTCCTATAACGTGAGCCCTCACAAAGAGATCGCTCTGTACAATAGACAATACCCAGATTTCCACGCAGAAAAGAGGAATGACAAGAGGCTCTCCTGGGGTGGGGTGGAGTCCTGTTGGATTTTGACAGCAGATGTGCTGTCCAGGGAAAAGAAATTTGGATAGCCAGGAACTGAAAACCCCACCAATCTAAAATAAGACCTCCATGGCTCTTCCCCAGGGATAAACACATACTGCCAGATCTCTCCTGGACAAAACCTCTGCTCCCTTTCCCATCTCTTCCCCAGCCAGGTCCCAAGATTCCAGCTCCCCGGGAAAAAAAGGATCCCCCTATGTAGATCTTCCCTGCGGTGTGTGTGGGTGGAGGAGCTGGGCCTCATTAGTGGACCATGGTCCAGGGCAGGGGATCCAGGCCCAGCACGGGTAGGAGGAGAAGGCGTCACTTCCGGGGGCCTTCACCAGTGTCTGGTGGCTCTCTGCTCTCTGATTGGGCAGACGTGGCCGGGTCAGACGTGTGACCCCACTGCTGTGGAAGGGCTGTGCCCCAACGCCACATGTCTTCCTATTCATCTGCTCTCCAGAGAGCTGTCCACTGTGCACCTGGGCCCTTAAGCCCTTCTCTACCTGGTGAGTGGCAAGCTGGGGCGGTGTTGGTGAGGGTAGGAAGGACAGGGAAAAATTGGGCTCTCAGCTGGGGGAGGGGCAGGCCAACTGGAACCTACAGGCACTGACCTTTGTCGAGAAGAGTGTAGCTTTCCCAGAATGGGAGGAGCAGGATAGAGCAGGGGTAGGGGGTGGGGTGCTGGTTTCCGAGGGACTGATCACAGAAGGGGTAGAATACAGCACCGTCCTGGCTGGCTCTAGGGAAACGAGACCTGGGCCCGGGGAGAAAATAGAGGAGGTGCACGCAGGGTTAGAGAACCCAGCACCGAGGTGGATAGAGCCCCAGTCTCCACTCTTCCGCGCGGTCACTCCTCGTTAGCTTCAGGTTCTGAGTACTGAGGCTGAGGAAGCCGGCTCAGGCGAGCCAGGGCACCAGGAAGGGGGTCAGGGGAGGAGAGCTTGTGCATGTTGACAGACCTACAGGAAATCCCAATATTGAATCAGGTGCAGACCTCTTTGCACAAGTTGTGAAAGGAGGAGGAAGCCATGTGGGGGGTCCTGTGAAGGACCCGGAAGGGGTCTGCAGAGGGGGCAGAGAGGCAGGTGCAGCTATGAGATAGATAGGCCGGCTACTGTCTCCGGTGAAGTAAGGCACGGAACATGGGCATCGTCCCGCTCAGCAGGTGCCCATCCGGGGGCCGCGTGCCTCAGGAAGGAAGTCCCAGGGCTGTGAGCCCATCTCGGTCTTTCAGAACGTGGAATGCAAAGAGAAACTCCAGGAGGCTTTCTGTGTGGCGTAGATAGGGAAGGAATGAGAAGCTAACGTCTTGCACCCGCTTTTAATCCCTGCCTTCTGGTGGTCACAGTTATATCTTCGCTCAGTTCCCCCAGCACATTATGCATATTCACTACTTCCTCATCCATACCATTTTCCACGCTTCTCCAGGTTCGCGCCACCGTTCTGCCCTTCCGTGTCCCCATCCCAGATTCTCAGCCCTCACAAGCAAGCTTGCTCAGAATTTAAAGCCAGTTAAGCCTTGTGTGTGTGTGTGTGTGTGTGTGTGTGTGTGTGTGTCACGTCCCGCCGCTCTCAGCAGGTGTGGGGGTGTGGGTGGCACCAAACCCACATCAGAGTCACTGACAAGGAGACCGCACCATGCGCTGCAATCCCCGGAAAACGTGGGGACAGTCAGAGCTGGCCAGGCCCTCCCAGCATCTGTTCCCGCTGGCCAGGCAGTCTCTTTCTTGAAACCTGATGAAATGGCTAGTCTTCCTGTTGCTTACAGGACAGATTCCAGACCTCTTCCTCGGCCCACCTGTGCCCCACCCCACTCTGCCCAGAAGTGCAAGAGCCCAAGCCGCCTCCATGGCCCCAGGAAGGACTCGGGGGAGGGGTCCCATAAAGGGAGCCGCTCCAGCCAGACACCCCAGCCAGAATGGAGCTGACTGGTAAGAACGTCCTTGAGGGACGAGGCCAGGTTGGAACATAGCAGGGAAGAGAAAAAAAGATTACGGGGTGGGGGCTGGGGAAGCCATTCTCGGGGATAAGGTGTCTGATCTCAGAGCCCTGGGTTCAGGTCTGGGTCCTAAAGAGGAAATCCGGGACCACCACCTGACTGTGATTTCTTCCTTACCGCCCCGCCAACCTTTCAACCTCATCTAAGATTTGCTCCAGGTGGTCCTTCTTCTCCTCACTGCAAGACTAACTCTGTCCGGCTCAGCTCCACCTGCCTGTGACCCCCGGCTCCTAAATAAACTGCTTCGTGACTCTCACGTCCTTCATAGCAGACTGGTAAGAATCCCGCACCCTCGCCCTGCTGTCCACTTGGCTAGTAAGCTGCCCTCACTTGCGCCACTTTCTTCTACGCCCTGACCAGTAACTATTCCTCCACTGTTGTCTTTGGGAAGGCCACCATCAACCAGGCTTGGTGGCATAGGCCTGTAACCTCAGCTGCTCAGGAAGCTGAGGCAGGAAGACTGTCAGTCTGAACCCAGCCTGGAGAACTTAGCAAGACGTTGTATCAAAAAAAAAAAAAAGAAAGAAAAAAGAAAAGGTGGTTGGGGTTAGGAGTGTACGTCAATGGTAGAGCTCTTGCCTAGCATGAGCAAGGCCCTCAGTTCAATCCCTGCACCAACAATAACAATAATAATGACTTTTGCCTACTACTGATCACTTTCTGCCAAGGACTGTGATTTGCACCAGATCCTTTCTTAGAAGCTCTAGCCTGGACCATGGGAAGCTGTCCCAGCTACTGGGCCACCATACCCTCCTCTATTTCAGCTCCCTTCTCCCCCCACCCCTCTTTCTCAACAGAGCCAGTGCCCAGAAGTTAACCCTTTATCCACACCCATCCTGCTGCCTGCTGTGGATTTTAGCTTGGGAGAATGGAAAGCCCAGACGGTAAGAAAGCCTTTCGTGACCTGAGATGTGGCTCAGTGGTAGAGCACTTGCCTAGCATGTGTGAGGCCCTGGCTTTGGTCTCCGACTTCAAAAGAAAGCAGGAAGGAAGGAAGGCAA